CCTGTCATGCTACACATGCATGGCAGGAGACATGATTGTGGGATAGCACATAATGCCTTATGCCTATCATGCCTTATTGCCATTGCAGCGGGTGCCTGGGATTGTTATCTTGGGCTCCCCCTGCACTGGCAAATAGGGGACTCACAGCCCTGGCTGCACCCCACAAGCAACCAAGAGTGCAACCAGGACTGTTATTCCCATCAGCTGCAGGACTACAGTCTCCCAGCTACAGCACTGTAATCTCCCAAGTGTAGAGACCCTGCTAGACATGCAAATTAAAGCACTATAGAAACCAGCTATAAGATTATGTGCGGGCCGGGAGCAGTCTGAGGCCCTTTTTTCACGCGGCGGGCTGTGGCCAGCAGCCCGGACACGCCGGGTCGGGGAAGGCAGGTGGCACGCTAGAATTAGGCACGGACGCTCAATGGTTGATTTAAGATTATTTACTTACACCGTAGATGGTCGCGGTGCAGGCTGGAAAACTTCCAGGAAAACTTCGCTTAAGTCCCAGTTTAAGGACTCGGACAGAGCTCTGGATTCACTCACATGAAGTTTGCTAGGCTCCGTGGAACTTTGCGCGCAGGGAAGGGTACGTCGAGGGATTGTTCGGCGACGGGGAGAGGCGAGAGGCTGATCAGACCCCTATAGCCTTCTCGATATACACGCTGGGTCCAATAGGCTCTGCAGCGCTTAGAGATCTTCACGAGACGTGAAGTCTCCTCCTCCTGATGTTCGTGGAGTCCTCCAACTTGGGCGGAAACCACCCAAGCCTCTTATACGGCTAGCAAGCCAATCGCTAGCCACCACGTAGGAATAATTTAGAACTGACCAATAGTGGGGCACAAATCTGAATACAAATGGCGGGAACTCCTTGCAACGTGCATTTCTGTGTTGCAACGAAGAAATGCACCCTGCAAAGAAAGCTACAAATGGCGGAAAATAATTCAGCAGTGCCGAAGCGCGCACACACAAAAAATCACACCCTTGGGTTGTGACAGATTACTACACATTTTCAAGATCTAACTTTATAGCTGGTTGGATCTTTTTACAGTGTGATAGTTACAATGCATGTGTAACTGGTCTCAATTGAATTGTACAATTAACCTGTTAATTGCACAGTAGCTGTAATGTGTAGAGAGGGCCATCTACTTCACAAAAAATACTTTATTACATAACACTCTAAGATTTATGTTGCCTTTATTTCCCTGTCTATATAGAGTCACGGACCATTATTTTTAAAAGTGACTAGGATTTGGGATGCCTGAATTATTCTGGTAGCCAACCTGAGACATTTGAATGGCCTTGGCTTTTTGAAAATACTGAACACCTGCTTTCTTTCCCTTAAAACAGCAATAACAGTTATCGTATCCTGCTTTTTAACCCTTGATCATGGAGTATTTGTCAGAAAAGGTGATCATTATTACTCGCATTATTCCCAACAAAGAAGTTACAAAAGAGGCATGTCTACATGAGACACGTTAATAATGCACGTGAACTTAGGCTAGTGCAAGTATCAAATTCAGGCACAAGTAGATAATGCACATTAACACACATGTAGATACAACTGGGCACTAACTTTAGTGCCAGGTATGCCCTGCTTGGCAGGGCTGCAGGGACTTGGGACTAACTTTAGTGCCAAGTCCAGGAACTTAGGACTAACTTTAGTCTCAAGTCCTTGCATAAGTAGACACCTGCCAAAAATCACTTAATGCGCATTATCTTAATGTGCATTAAATTTAGACATGCTTAAATACATGTGTAGACACACCCAAGAGGTAACACCATTGCTTTCACTTAGCAGTCTTTGCTACTTTTGAAAATGGAGTTTTCTGAATTTTGGAACTGTCACAAGTTTTGTACATCAATTAGCATTTTTATAATGTGCTAGTGACAACATGCCTTAATGAAAGATCAAGGCTCAGTTTTGATAGGCAATGTACATACTTGTGTACATACTGGGCACATATGCATGAGATCCTTAACTATACATTAGCATAGTTTACTGTAAAGTAAGCATGTGCATCTACACATGCACATGCTTACTTCACTTAAACCTCCCTAATCCCAAATAAATTTGCTACCTGAAAATGCAAGTAGCCAATTCACTTGGGATTAGCGAGGTTTACTGTGAAGTTAACTGCCCCACCAGCAGTGCAGGGCAGGGGGCTCGGACCTGACCATCCCCTGTAGCTCTTTCCAAGTCCTGTGCCCCTGATCAGGGAGCAAAGTCCAGGAGATCCCTGCTGCCAGGGAGCACAGGGACATTGTCCCCACCCCAGTAGCAGGCCGCCTCCTGTGGCCAGGAGACAGCTGTCTTCTGACCTTCTGCTCCCAGCCAGTCCCTGAGCTAACACCCAGGAGGCGTGTCTAGACATGATTTTAAGTGATCTTAAATTTAATGCTCATTAAACTAATGTGGATTAAGTCGGTTTTGGCAGGTGTCTACACATAGTGGGACTTGGGATGAACTTTAGTCCCAAATCACATCAGCCTGCCATGTGTCCCTGTGGCCACTGAGGGAAGCTCCAGCCTCTGGACTCATGGCTGCCAACACTTGTCAACCATGCTGAAGCAAGAACCAGCTGCCAGCATTTGGCAGTCATCTTGGAAACACTCCCCACCCCTCTCTCTGTGGCCAGCCCCACCCCTGCTCCGGACCCACATGCCCAGCACAGAGGCAGCATGCAGCAGCTCCCTCCTTGCCCACCCTGCCTCCCTGTGCCAGGGCTGCCTCTGCCCCTGTCCCTGCCCCTGCCAGTGACACCCAACACCCTGGACTCCTGCTGGCCATGGTTCTGACCCTGTTCCCCCCAGAAGGCACACCCCCCATCCAGGCCCCAGGAGAGCCATGCACCCACCAGCGGGGGCTAGGGCACCAGTTGCAGGAGGCCTTGACTGACCCCCTTCTCCTGCACTTCCCACTCTAGCCCCCCTGCCCCATCACCCACACACCCCTTGCCTGCCCCCGGCACCACTCTCAGGACATGCACATGGTTGAAACAAAAAAATTTTATTACCCTCACAACACCCACCCCCATCCCTCTCCCCCCAACAAACACTGCCCCTCCATTACCTTCCCCACCCACAAACAGTAAAAAACCTGCTTACAAGTGGCAAACTAGATAGAGCAGCTGGCTCTGGCTAGCCCCCTAGGGACTAAATTCCCTACGTTAATGCAGAGTAATGTGTCTGCACATGTGTTAATCTGCATTAACTAATTCCACTTAAATCTGATACTTGGTTTGGGCTGGTATCAGATTTAGGCTCACAGCCTAAAATTACCATTTCTAAGCTGCATTAAGGGTATGCAAGTGTAGACACATTCTGCATTAAATGACCATATGTAGACATGCCCCCGGGAGGGGGAGGGGGGAAGGCTGGAGCTCCCTCTGTTGGCAGCAGGGGCCCTTTGCAGGACTGCAGGGAACTGAGAGCAAATCTGCTTCCTAATCACCACATGTGTAGACACCTACCCCAAAACCTTTACTCCAGTTTAGCTGACATGAGTAAATTTGGGCTGGAATAAATGCATTTGTACACATGACCAGTATACCAAAAGACTGTCCTTACTGAAAGGGTTTATACTCTAAGTATCTACTATGTTTTTTCTTGTGTTGGTAAGTGAAAATACCATTATGGGCCTGCCATAAGGTAGAAGTGTCACCGCTGCTGGTAAATTCAGAACAGCAGTAGTACTTCATACTACTGTCACTCCCCCGTCCTATTCCTGGAAGTTATTACATTGGGGCAATACAATGCCTTGTATGCTAATACCATATTTTTCCTCCACCAAATAAATGTGTATTATGGCCACTAGAGCTTCTTCCCAGTCCTTATCTGCAAACAGAACAGTAGTCAGAGGCCAGAAGTTGGTCTTGTGTGACTGTAAAAGCTTTGAAATCCAAAAAGCACCTGAAATTATACAAATCTGTATTAACCATTCTCTTAAGTGATAATGTTTTAAGTCATTAGATGGGAGCAAGAAAGAGGCCATCAGTCTCAAGATCAATTTCTGCCTCAAGTGAATTAGTACAACTGTGTTATAAACCACTGAAAAAAACAGGTGGCAATGTATGTGGCACTGATCCTTTAACTGAGGTGGTGCACACTCATATAATATCCTGACTTCATCCCAAAACCTTGGAAAGGTTACTTACTCTAATGTTGTCTTCATGAGATTACAGTCAGAATCTAAGGTCAGCTGTGAGCAATATATTCGGCATGCTTTCACACACTGCAAGCCTTGTTACCACAGCCTCACAAAGCATCTCTTGAAAAGGAATACAGGATGTCCTTTGTAAATAAAAGTTCGTGCATTTCAGTAATGAAGTCATTTTCCAAAATTGCAGTGAATGATATTCTTTTTCACAAACTGACATGAAGCTGTGGTGGAGCTGAGAAGGATTTGAATGAAGAATACTAGACTGTACTGTTTCAGTCCCTTTTTATAGCTTGTTCTCTCTCACAAATGTAAAATCTTGATGAACAGAAACCCATCAAACCCCATTACCACTTGGGATATTCTGAATCTCGTCCTTCTCCACCCAAACAGCCCCCGCCCCCCCCCGCCCCCCGCCCATTTCTGTTCCCCTCTTCTCTCCACACATATATATATACACACACACATATATATATATAGTGTATATATATATATATATATATATATATGTATTATATATATATATATATATATATATATATAAAAAAATGTGTCACCTTCCTGTCTTTGACTAAATACACTGGAGGTGCTAAAAAAAAAGGAAAACAATCATGAGAGCTGATTCTCAGACTGGAGCATTCAGATCATGTCCAAACTAACCGGGGTGGGGGGGAGGAGAAAAGGTCTGCCCTCAATTTTTGAATGGCAAAGTTTGAGTGGGAGGGTCTGGAATCTAAAGGTAAAAAGGGAATGATGTGAGCATATGAAGGAAGCCAGAGCCCTAAATACAGAGTCAGTCTGTATCCTGACAGAGTGGAGATAAGGTAGCTGGGGAGCTAGTGGTGCTTTCCTGGAATACAATCTGTGTTTGACACTCTCTGTTTAAGCACTGCCCATCTGTATGTTATTCAGCTGGAGCCTCTAGGGAAAAAGAGAAGCCACAGGCACAGAGAGCGAGCGAGCGAGGAAGCAAAAGCGCTTTTCTTTTTTTCTTTTTAAGCAGAATCTGGTTAGACTGCCTTGTTGTGCCACATCTGGAAACTGAAAGCTGAGAGAAAGTTAAAATAACTGAGGCACCACTAAACCAAGGGGGGCTGATTGCAGAAGAGGGTAAACAATTACTAAAACGCTAGAAGACCACTGCTGGATGTAAGGGGAGGAAATGGCTTTGATCCCAGCCTGGCCCCTCATTTTTCCTATATTATTTTCCTTGAGATGCTTTTCTTCCAGTCCTGCCTCAAGTGAGAGCAGAGTTTTTCATGTTGACATTGAAGGTAGCTCAGCGGTCAGCAATCAAGAATCCACTGTTATCAGAGGGCAGCAGCAGGCAGTAGCTCCTGGAAGTTGGGTGCCTTTTACTGAGGTACAGTAACTTCATTCTGTCTCTAGAGTCTGAGATTTCTCTTTTCATGTGTTTGTGTTGAAGTTTGCATCTGGATAAAGTTAGTTTAATAATTTGAATCTTGCCATAACACTGTGGAGATATTTTCTGTGGGGGGGTGAATGGGGGGACATTGCATTAGAGATGGAAAGATACAGTTCAGACTTCAAAACATATGTGCGCCCTGCCTGCTGTGAATAGACAGCTGCTGCACTATAAAGTGGTACTAGCTTAGCGTGTCTCGGACTTTCCTGCCAGCTTAACTAAATAGGCCTGTCCAAACAAAGTTCTTTTACAAGGGTTAATTATCACAACACTTTATTTACTTTGTATCATCACTGGAATTTGAATTCATTTGAATATCCGGAAGGAATTTTTATTATTGTTGTTAGCAAAACTTGGGTAGAGAAATTTGTGTTTTTGCTCCTTACAGAATATCCACCTCTAGAAAATGAGGTTCCTTTTGTGGTTTAAATTTGGGATAATAAATCAAGCAATGCTTAGGAAACTGCCTGCAGAGAAAACACCTGCAAAGAATTTCAGCCTTGCAGAGTACTATATTGAGATTAGTAGTGGCAAACAAAATTGAGAAGATCCTTAAGTTACATTGTTGTGGTAAGTTGTCTTGTAATTTTTGTTGTGTTTTAGGGTTAATTTTCATTTCTGTCTTCAATAAAGTTGCATCTGAGCTAGCTTCTTTCAAAAAATAAACGCACTGCCTAAGATGGTTATAAATTACTCCAGGGTAATCTACAAGGGAAAAATCCTGCACTGTCTTATGTGGGAGCTGCAAAATAGGAGGCAAATTAAGTTACGTAAGGTCATGGGAAGGGAAAGA